ATCACAAAATGGTATCCTGGGGATGGTAGTCCCAATCCCATGGCATCTCGGGAATGTTAGACTCAATTCAGTAGTATGGTTCCATGTGATATTATAAATATCTTGTCACAGGGCCATCACAAACCCCGATGTTGTCTAATCAATTGGTGGTGGTGGTGCAACAACGATGGTGTGGTGATGGTAATACAGTAGTGATGGTACAGTGGTGGGGTCGTGTGATGGTGGTGGATCTCTCATGGTGTTTGATTACAATGTTCTACACCATGTAATCCACTTTGAGTCTCAAGTAGAAAATTGGCAAATACCTAGTAAGGTATAAATAATCAAGTAAATAAATAATGATAGGCTGACCACCGCTGTACTCATTATTCCCTCCCCCCAATAAAAATTATCTGGTTACAGGCCTGCCATAGCTTAGCTAAAAAGGGGGAAAGGTGGCATTGGTTGGCTACTGGGGGGCCAGCATGACGATTGTTGCTAGCCCTTGTGAGCAGTGCCAGTACAATCGAGGGGAGGAGCAAAGGTGGTGGTAGCAGGGACAGCAGTGAGCAACACAAGAACAGGGTGTGCTGATGCTCTTCATGCTCACTGTCGCCCTTCTTGCTACTGCGTCAGCAGCAGGGGCACCTTTTTCATCCCTCCCCCATGGGAAAACAGGCACTGTGACTCTCCCTACAGACAAAGCCGTCATCATGATCAAGGACTCCATTCTGTGATATTTGTCCCCATGCGTAGTACTTTATTTTATTTTCTGCCATGTGAGTGAATGACAGCCATTCATTTCTTATAGGGAAAAAGTAAAGGCTTCACTTGAGACTAGGTTGCCTGGCAGCCATCAGGAGGGTTGTGGGATAGGGACATCGGCTGTGTTCCCAATGATTCCTAGAGCTACCCGTTGTCACTTCCGGGTTGTACCTGGAAGTTACATACCACCACAGAGTATGTCACTTTTTACATTTTTATTTTTCTCCTCCTGCCATTCAGAGAAGCTGCAGACAGCAGCAGTGATTGGCAGGAGGCCTCCTGCCATAGCGAGAGGCCTGGCAACCCTACTTGAGACACTGTTGTGTTGGGAGCTAAATCTGCCCCATCCTTCTGGTGACTCCAATGTCTAGAATGAGGGCCAAGACCTCACCTCTCGATCAAATTGCAGTTCTTTCACTTTATTCCATGTAACTAGTGGACGCCATTCAAAACTGAGCCAGCCTGCGCTTGCATAGCTCTACATTTTTACATACCCCCACCTTGGAATTTTGTTTCTTAGGCTGATTCTGCATTGGTTTTTCCCTCCATTGTTTTACAAAAACCATGTTGGAATAGAAATTCCCCTCTGCATTGCATGCTTCTTTCACTTCCTTTGATCATCGGATTTTTTTTTAATTAAGTTGCAAAAATGTTTACTGTAGTAATTCTGTAGAAGATTTTCTTCTATAATCACTCACACGCAACAAATCGGATTTTATGGTACCTTCTGTATAGACAGGGGTGACTTCGCAGTCAGTATGGCATTGCCCTGAGGTATTTGAATGTGGTTTCGAGCTGCACTTTCCCCTCCCAGTTGAGAAAAAGTGGAGCAAATGCTAGATGCAGAATCGCCTTAGGGTAATGATAAATTGAATAAAATAAATAAATAAATAAATAAATAAAGTATCTTCCCTCTTGGTGATCTAATGCACATCTGCTTGACCTGCAGAGAGTGTAGCTGACTCTGTCCAGAAATGCTGTAGTGAGAGCATCCAGCCCTTTCTAGCTTCCATACTGGAGGAACTGATGGGTCCGGTGAGCTCTGGGTTTAGCGAAGTCCGTCTGCTTTTCGAAAAAGAAGTCAATGAGATCAGCCAGGACTTCCAAGCAACAAATGATAATGCAAAGCTGAAAGAGGTAAGATGGCTACGTGATTTATTGTTTATTTAGACAGAGTCTGTTTTGGTCAATAACTTCCTTCCTGGGGCAACTGTGCTTCTCTCCTGATCATATTTTGATTTCCCCACCCAGAATTCATGATGTGACCTAGCAGTTTAGTATGGCTGTGTTCATTCTCTTTGTAGCTTTCACTGACGGAGCATCCACACGGCAGTTTTCCCTGCACTTTCCATATATAAGCCGCCTGTAGCCACTGTTCTCCCTCACACACCACCAGGAGGGCTTTTTAGGGCTTTGGGTGTGTGTGTGTGTGATTGATATATCACTATGTGTGTAAGCAGTGCCATCAAGACGCAGCCAATTAATGCTGATCCCAGCAAGGGGCTTTCAAGGGAAGTAAGAAGCAGATATGGTTTGCCAGTGCCTTTCCATTAAAAAACACAGAAACTGCTTGACTGGTTTGCATGAAAAAGGTATCCTTCAAAAGGCTGCAATCTGATTTGCTCATCCCCTTATCGTTTACTGGGTGGCTGCGTGCCTTTCTTTGTGACATCAGAGCAATTAAGCCAATGGCAGTTCCGCCAATAATACCTTGGCTCAGCAAACTTCTTGATAACTTCAGAGCAAATCAGTTATTCATGCCTGGGCGACACTCGCAACTCAGGTGCTATGAATAACGTACTTTTAATGTCACTGTTATCGTCCCGAAAAGCCAAATCTGGTCTGTCTTTCATTCCATCAATCTCTTAGCTGTCATTCTTCACCATTGTATTTCCAGCCAGTTCCCCACACCTAGGATCTTCTTTGTAGCTAATGTGCTTCAGGCCATATAAGGCTTTAATATGAAACCTGCAGTAAGACCATTCATGAGACTCTCTCTTCTTTGCAAACCCATCTTTCCTCTAGAACGTGGATCTGCTGATGAGCCTCCCATACAGCTCTGTGAAAATGGAGCCTTGCTATCTGAAGGTGAACCTCCTGCAAGAGCAGCTTCAGGATCTCAAGAGTCGTTTCAAATTCTACCATATTGACTTGATTATTCAGCAGACACAAAACCACATGCAGGAGGTACAGTCAGATTCACATATTGACTATTAGCCCAGGTCTGGTCTTCATTTGTACCTTAACTATTAGCCCAGGTCTGGTCTTCATTTGAATTCAGAATAGCTACATAACTAAATAAATTCTGCTTTTTATTCATTTTTAGGCTTTTAAATCCAAAAGCAGCTTCAAAAGGTCGGTACTCTAAGGCAGAAAGGTGAGGGGGAGGAGAAGCTGCTTAATATTTCCCCTTTAAAGTATTGTTCGGCTTCAAATCACCCCCTCCCCAGCTACTTTTGCCCCCTTATGAGAGAAAATATGCATCCTCTTCCAGGGGAAGAAGGAGGCTTCTGTTTGTGTGATGTTGAGCTGAAAAACAACCAGAGGCTTAAGTAAGCAGCCTGTCCACACCCACCCTTCATCTGCTATTGCTGTTTTTTGGGGGGGGGTTTGTTTTGTTTTTAAATGCAGAGAGAAGGTAATGCAGAACTCTGTTCGGACCCAAATTATTTGCTCTTGTGTGTGTACGAAGATAAAAACTCTCATTTGTGTACAAAGACAAGAACTTTCATTTGATCCTCTGAACAAACGTCTTGGTGTAGATTCACGCTATTAGTTCTAGGTGTTCCTTCGATGACTTTCAGTGCCATCCTAAGCACAGTTACATCCTTCCAAGTCCATTGACTTCAGTGGGTTTAGATGAATGTAACTCTGCTTGGGGAGCTGCGGTGGCTCAAGTGGTTAAGACGCTGAACTGCAGGCTGTGGAAGGTCGGTAGTTCAGCAGCTCGAGACCCGAGTGTGCCGCAGGACGGAGTGAGCTCCCATCTCTAGTTCCAGCTCCTGCCAACCTAGCAGTTCGAAAGCAAGAAATTGCAAGTAGATAAATAGGTACCACTTCAGTGGGAAGGTAACAGCGTTCCGTGCACCTTGGTGTTTAGTCATGCCGGCCACATGACCACGGAAATGTCTTCGGACAGCGCTGGCTCTTCGGCTTTGAAACGGAGATAAGCACCGCAACCCTAGAGTCGGATTCGACTGGCTTTCGAGCAAGGGAACCTTTACCTTTACCTAACTCTGCTTGGCATGGTACTGCCGGTCAGTCTGGATGCATCCTGATCTCATGAAAAATCCAATACATGTTTAGGTTGCTAGGCAATTCGCATGGAGGAATCTTGGTTTCTTTATTTAAAAGCCCTCCTTCCAAATCTGAATAATTGTTGAACCAGTAAGGGCAAAGGGAGCAGTGTGAGCAGCCCTACCGAAATCCAGACTTAGAGAACATGTTCTGAGATCCAGAGCTCCTAAGCTGAGTTGCAGCATGCAGAAAATGCTGACCAGGGCAAGGGCACACGAACACATGAAGCTGCCTTATTCAGAGTCGGACCACTGGCCTTTCAAAGTCAGTTGTGTTTACCCAGACACACTAGGGTCAGTGGTCATACTTCACCTACCACCCGCTCCTTTGAACTAGAGATTGAACCTGGGACCTTCTGCACGGAATGCAGGTGCTTTACCACTGAGCCTTGCCCCATACTTAGGCTGCTTTATACTGAGTCAAGGAGGGCCTGGCGTGATGTGGTCCATAGGGTCATGAAGATTTAGACTCGACTGTGCGACTGAACAACATACTGAGTCAGACCCTTGGTCTATCATTGCCACTATTGCCTAATCTGACTGGCATCATCTCCGGTCTTTTGCATCAGCGGAGATGCTGGGGATCGACCTTGGGAATTACACATGCAAAGCAGGTACTCTGTCCCAAGTCGTGGCCCCATTCTTAGCTGTCAGGCTACTAGTATTTATTCTAGACCACTTAATCCAAAGGCTTCATTTGGTTGCTAATTGCGGGGTTGATGTTGCACATTCCCTCTGTAACCAAAAGAGGCCAGATAGACATCAGGATAGATCCCCACTCATATACAGTGTTCTTGCTTTGAGCCCTGGGAGTGCCTAACAAACCCTTTCACAAACAGCCTGTTGCCTTTTAAGTATATGTACCTTTGTTTGTACATTAATAAGCACATGGGTTTAATGGATGTTGATACCGATTTCAGCATGGTGTCTGTAAATGTGATATCTGTTTTTCAATGTTTCCCTGCCAGCTTATGGAAAATGCAGTATATACCTTTGACCAGCTGCTCAGCTTAGGCCATCAGAAAGATATGGCCAGAATGGCAACAGCCATTGAAAAAGTCAAACTTCGCGTCCTAAAGGTATGCTATTTTCTGCCTGCGCTTTGCACAGAAAGGTTTGTAATGTCCACTTAATATAAAACAAAGGTGTGTTCCCCCTACACACACACACACGCACTTGTTTACATTTATTACTTTTTTGGTGTTTGAGTCTTCAAACATCTTACAACAATTGCAGCTTAGATGCGAAGAGGACAGCAGAGCTCATATACCTGTTCTAGTTGTGTAGGTGAGAAGGATTCAAGCAGGTGCAGTTTCCCCCTTTTGTACCTGACACTGTTGTAGACATTCTGTGCACGTCACAATGAGGGTCTGCCATGGTTGCTCATCTGAATGGAACATTCTGATCTGATATCTTAACGGGCATAACCTGTACTAATTAGAAAATAATTCCTATAAAACTTTAACTGAAAGTTTTCTATTGTCTTGTTTTATATGCATGTCAGCAGCTATCAAGAAGGTTCTACTGTACAGTATGATCTCCCAAGGAGCCAGCTGTACTTTTAAGACTACCTCTTGATATGGTAGAATGAATCTCGCTTCTGCAAACATGCAACATAAGAATCATTGCTGGTTACTTGCTTGAATGTGACTTGCTCCTTGATAAACCTAGGAGTTGGAAGACTCTAGGGGGAAGTTTCCAGTTCTGTTGTTGACTTCATTTCATGGCATTCTATGAATATGTTATATGCATTATATGTATGCAGATAACCGGAGTGAATCATCCTCAGTTCACAGTAACAAGAGAAGCGATGGATGGATGGCCTAAAAGGTCTGAGGGTTGCACGCAGGTGTGCATGATTTGAGTGGCAAAGCTGCTGTAGAAGTGTACACACAGCATGTTGTACAGATGGACAACTTCCTGTTCATGGTTAACCTGTATGGAAACCAGTTCTGCCTGTTTGTAGCAGGAGCCGGCTTTGCACAATGTTTGTTGACTGGCACGTTGAGTACGGCAGCTCATCTCCCCTCCTTCCCCAGAGCAGTTTTGCTGCTCTTCTAAAATACATTTTCCTTTTAAAAAAAAGTTATACATGAACATATGATAAACACTCATTTGAAAATTAATAAAAAGGCAGGCCACAAGCAAATGACTGATACCAGTATTCAGATTGCTGAGATCTGTGAAGGCAGGGAAACTGGGCAAGTTTGTGGGCAAAAACAAAACAAAAAAAACCCTACCACAAGTCATATTTAAAGGTATCTCTGCACACATCTGGAGTCATTGGATGGAAACTTCATGACTGTTGACTGATAGGGCTTGAATCCAGACTTCTGTGTCATTAGACCATTGTTATATATTCTCACACAAATGCGTATAACAGAGGCTTACTGGCAGCTTTTTCTCAGGTCCTTTGGGTTTGGCCCACTATGAACAGGTCAGCAGTATGTGTGTGTGTGTGTGTGTGTGTTTGTTTCAGGTGGTGACGTGCTGAACCCCTTTCCCAGTTGGCAGCTTTTCTTTTCTGAATTGCCCTCTCAAATTCATTTCTCCTGGTGGGAAAGTAGCTTTATGGAGTTGATTTGGAGAGGCAAAAATGGCTGGCAGGAAAAGAACAAAGTTATCTCGTCCCCACCTGTTCCTTCTTTGCTCCTAACGGGTTCAGCCCGAAACCAGTTTCTTCAGGGGAAAAAGGTGCCCATCCAGATTGCATTAGGCACCTTGTTGTGGCTTCAGGTAGTTGTGTTCTAATGGTTTGGAAGTCTATATTCAAGCACTCCTCCACTCTAACTGGGTTTCTGTACCTGCTTTTTCTGTATCTGCTTTTCTTCAGCAAAAAGTGCCCACCGGAATTATATTTCCATGCATGTGCATGTAGTGCCTCCTGTATCAAAAGAGAATAGAAACTCATCTTTTTTTGGAAATTACTCTGTACAGTGCCACGGCAGTGTATAAATAATAATCGGTGCGGTTCTCAGTTCCAAGTACATAGAATTTGTTTCTCTTTCAAGGATAAGTGCCAAGTTTCAATAAATGCAACTGATTAAAGAAGGACAAGGTATCTTTTGGGGCCCAGTCAGGCCCATTTATTTCTGGTAACTGAAGTTTTGAAAAAGTCCTTATTCCCAGAGATTTCTAGAGACAGAAACAACTGTGAAGGAAGCAGCTCCATTAGTGTTTCTGTCCACAGGAAACTGGCAAGAGGTTGCAGGCACTTTGGGCTTTTTTACTGCTGACTTTATGTCTTATTTTTTGTTTTTGTTTTTCATCTACAGCAATATGACTATGACAGCAGCACTGTCCGGAAAAAGATATTTGAAGATGCTTTGATCCAAATCACTTTGCCTACACTGCAGCGGACATTGGCCTCAGCTTGCAAACCGGTAGGTTGCTGTGCTGAAGGGGAGTCAAAAGGAGAGGAAAAGTTTGCCTCAATGACATGCTCATGCTATTGTGTTAGCCTGATCATTTGAAAGACTGCTGAAATTAAGAGACTATTGACGGTCGGGGCTAAGGCCAAGTACACTGCAGCTCTGTGTTATGCAGTCTGTAAATCCCAGAATGGACTTATGAAACCCTGGCCATACTCATTTCCTGCCGCTGGGGCATTCTAGGATGTGGTTTCTCAAATGCCAGCTGGGGCTCCAGGCATTCTAGGATGTGGTTTCTCAAATGCAGCCTCTGAGCGCTTTTCCCTTTTCGGTGGTGGTGGAAAGGGCCATCAAGTCACAGCTGATTTATGGCAACCACATAGAGTTTTCAAGGCAAGAGGCTTCAGAGGTGGTTTGCCACTGCCTGCCTCTGCGTCATGGCCCTGGTATTCCTAGGAGGTCTCCCATCCAAATACACAAGCCAGGGCCAACCCTGCTTAGCTTCTGAGGTTTGATGAGATGAGGCTAACCTGGGCCATCCAGGTTAGGACCAACCCAATGCCAACCGTTTTCTGTACAAGCCGGTAAACTGAGTCGATGCAGTGCCCTTTCTGTGATGAGCTGCAGTCACAGCCGTGATTGTGGAGACCCTTCCTTGTCCTCGCCCCAGGTGGCCACGGAATGGAGGCCAGGGAATTATCTCTCACTGCCACTACAAGTTCTCCCAGCTGCAGCTTTTGAACTTTAGCCAGTCTTTATGCTCTGCAAACACAGCTAAACACCAGTCTGAAAGAGCTGTTTGTGTGTGTGTGTGTGTGTGTGTGTGTGTGTTTGTTTATTACTTTAGATTTGTGAATCACCCAATCCCTGCACACACAAGGCTCTGGGCGATGTACAACAGTTAAAACAATGTTAACATATAATAAAATCTGTAAGTCAATTACATAATCTCAGATGGCATCGATAAGATTTTTTTGTACCCACTCCAGACTGTGTTGCCATCTCGTGGGCAGGACAAGGAGGGGGCCAAAGTGCCAAGATGGATGAAAAGAAGAAGAGGGTGCCAGCCATGATGGCACCGTTGCCATCCTTGACTGAAAGCCTGGCGGAACATCTCTGCCTTACAAGCCCTGCGGAGTTGCATTAAGTCCCACGGGGCTGTGGAGGTATTTGGCAGAGAGTTCCACCAGGTCAGAACCATGGCTGAAAAAGCCCTGGCTCTGGTCGAGGACAGCCGGATATTTGGGGGGGCCAGGGTTTAACAGTAAATTGTTCTCAGCGGAGCATAACGCTCTCCCGGGGACACAAGTATTCTGCACTATTTGAAGCCTCCGCATTGCTTTTAAGGGCAGCCCCACATAGAGCACATCACAACAGTCCTATTTCAGGTTACCATAGGGTAGATTAGTGTGGTTGGATAAGCTTTGTCTGTCTGTCTGTGTGTGTGTGTAAAGTGCTACCAGGTCACTGCTCGATACCACACCATACCACACCTTAAAAAGGATATTATAGCTTTGGAAAAAGTGCAGAAAAGGGCAACTCGAATGATAAAAGGGTTGGAACACTTTCCCTATGAGGAAAGGTTAAGGCGCTTAGGGCTCTTTAGCTTGGAGAAACGACGACTGAGGGGTGACATGATTGAGGTTTATAAGATTATGCATGGGAAAGAGCAGGTAGAGAAAGAGGTACTTTTCTCCCTTTCTCACAATACAAGAACCCGTGGGCACTCCATGAAATTGCTGAGCAGTCGGGTTAGAACGGATAAAAGGAAGTACTTCTTCACCCAAAGAGGGATTAACACTTGGAATTCACTGCCACAGGAAGTGGTGGCGGCTACAAGCATGGACAACTTCAAAAGGGAATTAGATAAGCATATGGAGCAGAGGTCCATCAGTGGCTATTAGCCACAAGGTATAGATAGGGACTCTGGGGCAAGTGATGCTCTGTCATCTTGGTGCTTGGGGGTGTCAACAGTGGGAGGGCTTCTAATGTCCTGGCCCCACTGGTGGACCTCCTGATGGCACTGGTAT